ATGGCGGCTCATCTCTGATTCCAGCAAACAAAAGAAAGGAAACAGTGGGGACGCACGTTCTAACCTAACCTAACCTATTCTAATAAATTACCATAATTATTACCAACCAAATTATTAGAATAGGTTAGGTTAGGTTAGAACGTGCGTCCCCACTGTTTGCTGGAATCAGAGATGAGCCCGCCATGACGGTACACGTATCTGGACTTTAATCTAAGGTTTTTATTAATTTTTCACTGCTTTGAAAATCTATGGTTGTCCTATATACGCGAGTGAAAGATTTTTTTCGTTTTTTACAATAATTTTTTGTGAACCATGTATTTGCATTTTTTACCACAGTGGTTCTCAACCGGGGGTACATGTACCCCTAGGGGTACGAGCGTAAATCAAAAGGGTACATTTAACTTTCATTATAAAATGGCGTATGTTAATTAATTTGCTGTAAATTATTAACACAAGAAACAAGAACAGCAAATTGTAAGAAATAGGTGACTGCAAAAATTGCATGACGCCCACGTTTCTTGTATAACATCGCCGTCTCGCAATACTCCTCTTTGAAATAATTCGCCATGTCTACCTCAACGCACAGTTTCAATTCCCATGCTTTGTGACATAGCACCGATGGTAAACGAATACTGACAAATTAGCATTTCACGCTATTCGTTATGTAGGAGAGGAGGTTCTTTTGTCATGCTCTACAACTTTGTAATTGACTTTTTTTGCTCGTCCTGCATCGTTTTCGAGATTGAAGCGTTTAAATAGTATTTGAGTGTACTTAGTTGTCAGGGGTCTCTCTGGAAAATTTTAAAATATCGCCAACCATTTCGCTAGTATTATATTTTTATCGCCACTTTAACAAAAATATCGCCAAGTGTCGATTTTGGCGCTATGCAGCACGACTTCTGAGTTATAGGTGCTATGAAACACATTTTTTTCTTTTTTTTTTTTGTCGGCCGGATAACCAAGGCGCCTGTCTGTTGCTTTGAAGATCCCGAATCGAATCCGGACGGTCGAAAAGCCTCAGGAATTTTTCGAGAATAGTCGGGCCCCGTCCCTTTGTTCGGCGTAGTCGAACCCAAGTAGGCCTAAAAAAGGTCCTCTTACTGCCCTCAGGAAAAGAAAAAGTAAAAAAATAGTAGTANTTTTATATAATATACTTGCCAAATAATAATAAATAAATGTATGTACTGGATTAAATTTATTATCATTTACGTGAAATAAGTAATTCACTTTTAGTTATAGTTATTTAGTCAGTTTTTTATGGTGCTCAGTTATAAGGGCTGTATACATCTAACGCAGTAATTATAAAATTTACATACAAAAATATAAGGGGTACTTTAGAAACAACTAATGGGCTAAAGGGGTACATCAACAAAAAAGATTGAGAACCACTGTTTTACCAGACACTCACCTTCTGGTGTTTAAGAACAAGTATTTTATCTGGGTCATTTCAATTATTCTTGTGTATTGTCAGGACTAAAGATGAATAGCAATAGGAAAAAACAAAGCTTTATGTTTTTTCCTATTGCTATTCATCTTTTTGGAAAAAATTTGGAATTCAATTCATAATTGAATTCCAAAATCACACAGGAGCCCAATATAAGTTTTAATCCCAAACAGACTGTACACAACATTGCTAATATCAAGTTGTTGTTGTATTCAATAGGCAGAAAATCAGCATGAAATCAAACCAAGATGGATGAGTTTTTTAATTAACAAATTGTGAAGTTGTGAAGTGCAAATGAGCATACATAATTTGCCTCTTTTTGTGCTTACAGAATATACGATTTCTGTCAGCTTTGCAGTACACACATACAACACAATATACAATCTTGTAACATATATTTCTATAGAATAAAGAATAGAGATTTTAACAGACTAAATAATTTCAAGTACAGGTATTTCTTTTATATAGAGGGTTAAATAATGGATTCTGGGTGTGCAGGAAATCTGTTGATATCAATATAATGGATTCTTGGAACAACAGATGATTTTTAGTGGCCTGAGTGATTCGTTAAAATGAGATTCTACTTTATATATATATGGTGAAACCTGTCCAAAATGGAAACCTGCCTAAGGGTTCATTTACACACAACAATGGCGTGTGGCACAGTGACTGTTTGGTGACAGTGACATCGAGCATGGCACAGTGACGAGTATTTACACACAACAGTGACATGACTGTGCTGTCAGTGAGTGGTCATGAACTTTTCTGAGGATGAACTGGCTATGATAGCTATATGTTTGGATGAAGAAGAAAAAGAAATGCGATCAAGAAAGTGCTGCAAGTGGGTACATGAAGCATGGACAAAAAATATCAACAGAATGGGAGTTAGTTTCATACTCTTTATAAAAAAATTGAGATGACGAATCTATATTTTTTGAATATTTTTCAAATGTCCCAACATGCATTTCATATTTTATTAAACAAAACAGAGAAAATATTCATTTTGTACCCAATGTCCATGTATTTTGAATGAGATAAATCAAATAGAACAGGGTGTTGATGCACTATTTCAATTAAATGTTCATCATCCATTGGAAAACAAAATTTACCGTCAGTGAAAATATCATTCCCGTCAAATGTACTTTCATGGTACATTTGACGGGAATGACATGCCACTGCCACTGCCACTGCACAACACTGTGATGGATGAGTCTGGACAGAGTGGTTTAAAACTAGGTCAACGATTTCCCACAGGCAAAAATTCACTGCACTGTGCCAGCACGTCACTGTTGTGTGTAAATGGACCTTAAAAGGAAAAAAACTCTTCAGAGAGGAGCAATTTTCTATGGGCACGTTCGTAAAGTCGAACGAGTTAAACGAGAATGACGTCATCGTTATTCTTATTTCGTTAGACTTTTCGAACGATTCGTTTAGAACTAAATGGCTGTTTCTAAAATCGAAGATACAAATGTTGCTAGTACAGCCTTATCCGAAATATTTTTCTCAGATTGCTTCGGGTGGACAGTTACTTCAATCATTTCATCTTTAAATTCACAATTTAAACACTCGAGTAGATTTAGAAACATCGATGCTGTTGGACGGCATTTTCTTAACGAAGTAAACCAACTCTTTCCTTCGTGAACTTCGTTAGAGTTTCGTTCGAAACGTCATCACCGCAGAGCATGCGCACTGAGCGAGACTACTACTTTTCGAACGATTCGTTACTAACGCATTTAACTCATTCGACTTAACGAACGTACCCTATGTTAAAAAGAAAACATGACAAAATGGAAAAAATATTTAGTATTGTGTGATTCCAATTTACACAGATTTTACTGTATGTAACATGATGTTTGATTTTTGATTAAATTAATTTAATTTTCAAATACAATAATTACGTATAGTGTTTATTGTTCATTAAACATTAAATGCACAGTGGATGATGTACCAAAACACAAAAACAAATGAGTTTCTGGAGTTTGGATAATTCAGAAAATTTTGTTCATGGCACTTAGTCATAAACAAAATTTTGAGAACAAGGTTCAAAGACTCCTGATCCCATCAAGTTTGGCTAGTAATGTATCTGCAATGTATCTGTAATATTTCCAATGTATCTGCATGTTGCAGATATTCCTTTATTGAAAATTTTTAGAACTGCATGAACTGCATATTTGGGATGCTAATAAACTAAAAGAATTGTTGAAAAAAAAAAATAATAATTTATATAAAAAGTTTCTGATTTTTCATTCTAACTGAAAAATTTAGAACCTAGTGTAACAAGATTTTGCAAAGAAAGAATCTTCTTTTGCTAAAAATCAATCATTTCAGTTATTTAAGGTTACCAACGAAAGAATTTAATTCTATGTAGAAATGCAAAACCAAGAATTAAATTTTGGATAACATTGGATCTTGCTGAATGAAAGACATGAATTATTTAAAATGATGAATGAAGTTAATGCAATTTAGATTTTAGTAATTTTAGCAGTTTTAGTACATTAATATTTTTTGATTAATAACATCAGAAATAGAAATGTAAAAAAGTTATTTAATAATCACCTCTCTTTGATATGAAAACTTACTGTATGAATTTCAGATAAAAATGCTTTTAATAAAATTTTCAAGATTTCTTGACAAAAAAAAAAGTTTGACAAATTAAAATTATTATATTTAAGGTATATTTTATGCTTATAAATGTATTTTTTTTTTTTTTTTCAGACTCTTGAACAATTTGAATTTGATGGTTGTGATAATTGTGAAGGTTATCTTGGTATGAAAAATAATCGAGATATGGTTTATGATTGTACTAGTTCAAATTTTGATGGGTATGCTTTTGTTTTTATTTTATAAATTATTTCTACCAATATATATGTTTAAAATTAGTATTTTAGTTAATCTAATGAATTAAATTATACTTTTAATGTATTTTTAAGAAGTACAGTATTATTATAAAAACTTAATTTTTTGTTAAATGGAAATATTTTAGTATCTAATTTCAAAAATCTTTTTGTTTTGAGATAGCCTACTTATTGGCTAAAGTACAACCAAATTGGTCATCTGTTCAGTAATATTTTCTCTTCTAAAAGTAGATTTATTAAATTTATTATTATTTTTAAATATTATAATATAAAAATATAAACATTATGAATAAATATCTAGTGAATGAATATTTCTTTATTGATATTACATTGATAAATATTACTTCATAGAAATGAATAATCATTCATTTGATTTTTAGTTTAATGAAACAAAATCTTAAATTAATTTAATTGTTATTCTATAAAACTATTAATTTTTTTTTAAAGACTGATCTCCCTTATGGGACCAGAAGATAGCTGGGTTGCTAAATGGCAGAGAATAAGTAAGTATATTTCTATAACAACTCTAGAAAAGGAATAATTTTAAATTAATTAATTTAAAACTATTTTAAATGACTTATTTAAACTGAAAAATCTACTCCTATTTAATACTTTAAGCAGTCCTTGGCTTTCAGACAACTTGTTTTTTTGTATATAATCCTTTTATACCTCTTAATCACTTTTTATACATCAAATTCAAGCTTTCAGACATGTTCAGCCAATAAATAAAAATTTTGAGCTATTGTGCAATGGCATTTCCTGCCAGATTTGGTTTCAGTAACATTAAAATCATTTATGAAAATTAATTTTTGTCTGTATAATGTTTAATCTATGGTTTTGATGTTTTAAATAATGATTTGTTCATTATAATGTATTCACTGTATTCTCTCTGGAAACAGAATCCCTTTATAATATGCAATGCTATTGTTTGACTTTCTGATGTTCATCTTTCATATACATTTTTTAGGAATGCATTACATTCAAAAGTCAGGGACTATATATATTTTATTCACAAACTGAAATCTTCTATCATTTTTCTATATACAGTGGTGCCTCATAATTTGAATTAATCCATTCCAGAAGACTAAAGTCTGAATCAATTTTTCCTATTAAAATAGCGGAAAATGAATTAATCCATTCCCAGACCCTAAACATCCATTTTAATTAAGTTAAAACAGCAAATACATGTAATTTAATGTACAAACAACACAATTAAATATTCTAATAATAAATTATAATACAAAAATGAAATGTTGAAAATATAAACAAACATTTATGTTGGAGAAATTGTTACAATAAAAAATTGTGAATATGTCAATGCTGGGCTGCAATTTTAATCATATTTTTAATTTATTTGATTTAAAATATATACTCTTCACCTCAGATTAGTAGTGGCTTGTCCCTCTATTTTTTTCCTTTAACAAAAGAAGTTGTGCCAGTCATCTATTAACTGCGTTCAGGGGAAAAGATTTGAATTGAAATAATGTAACTTCTGGTTTGCATTGGAAGTTCTTATATACCATATATATGTGCAGATAAGACAAGGCGTAAATTTTTATAGTTAGCATATATCTGTCCTATAAGACGATCCCCAAACTATCAATGGCCTATGAATTTAGTTTAGATCAGCAATCATCATCTGGATAATAATACTACATAGATACAGTAGAACCTCGATTATCCGGACTAATTGGGAATAAAGGTAGTCCGGATAAGGAAAAATCCGGATAATCGAAACAAATACTTTAATTTCTCTTTTAATGATAATACAACAGGTTTTCTTTTCGATGACATATCGGCAATATTAAAAGTAAATACTGTATTTAAATCGTGATCAAATTTTCAAGAAACAAACGTTCGTATTGAATTTGGACTACTACTGACCAACGCTAACAGACTACCTATTGTTTAAAAGGCCCTCTGGTGGCGCAAGAAGACGGATTTTATAAAATAAAAAGCAGTTGAAACTGCATTTTTATGAATAAAAATTTGACAAACTATTTATCGTTTTATGACGAGTAAAATTTTGTCGTCAGGTTTGCGGTTTTTAAGTAATGGATAAACCTTCGAAACGCGAGGCCCTTCGGACCGCGAGGCATAGGCAGTGGCCCACGTTGCCCATGCCTTACGCCGCCCTTGGTCATAGAAATGATGTAATTTGAATATAAATTATTTATAAATACGTATGTCAAGTTATATTTTTATTACTACATAAATTATATTAAAGAGTTTACGACCACTGTGCTGGGTGAGACGTTGTTGAAACAAAAAAAGTTATGCATTCCATCACGTACATGAACAGTGTCGTGATTCGCCAAGTGCAAATCATCAAATTCGTAAAATTTTTATTTTAAACAATCCGGATAATCGAAAATCCGGATAATGGAGGTCTGGATAATGGAGGTTCTACTGTATATGGAATTTTATTCTATTTGTAATTTTTTGAATGAACAAATTTTATTTTCTTGCATCTGACAGTACTGCCTTGTGATTATTGCAAACATTCGCACTGATTTGGGCATTTAGGTAATGATCTTGACTATTCGCAAAATGTCATATGGACTATTTAAATACATTGGTAAGTGATTTGTTTTATTTTATAATGGTTTTAATTTATATAAATTTCAACTTAACTTTTTTTGTATCTGTCCTATAAGAAGACCCCGGATTTTGGGGGCCTTTTTTTATGATTCAACTATCGTCTTATCTGCGCAGATATATGGTAATTAATCGGGGCCTCCTGCCCCTAAGGTCTAGGATTTCATCTAACTCTGTTTTTGAGATTAAGGAAACATAAACATAAGGATGACAATGGGAATTTGTAGGTCTACAATTTTTTTCAAATTGCAACCCAATAAATAAAATATATAAATACTATATGATAAAATGAAAATTGCATTAACTGATCATGCACCATCAACTTCAGCATGTTAAACGTAGCTGCCAGATTTGCCACACATGTACTGCTGCCATGCTTTGTGATAAGTTTCTTTTTCATCTAAATCATCGATATTACATCCTTCCTCTAAAATTTCATTTCTTCTATATATTTCTCAGATGTTATGATTAATAAGTGAGGGTTATATTGGGTCCAACAAAATTTTTGCATATTTTTAACAGCTATTATTTCTTAATATAGATGTGTGATTTAATTTTAAGGTGTAAGAATGTACAGATAGTTTACAGGCGTAATCCCACTGTGTACAGGCTCGTAAGGAACGATAAAGGCAGTTACGAACACAGCGAGATGGCAGGGGTATACTCTATACCATTAAAGGACCATAGATTTAACTCCACTTTGGTATACATGGGAGCGACCATGAGAAACTTAAGAATTGTTGAACGTAAGCATTCGGTGAATAAAAACATAGACTCTACAGTGCTTGCTGCTTTTGCCAAACAGCAGAATATCAAGGTCTTCTGGGATCAGGCATCGATCATCAAGGCTACAAGGTCCAGGCAGGCCGTGAAACATCTGGTAAAACTAGAAATTTACAAGGCACAGTTGCACATAAACTGTATTAATCATAGGGATGCCGATGGATTGTCATCGGTGTGGAAATCCTTCTATGATGAGTTGATGTAGTTTATACAAGCGGGAAGTTAATTAAGATAATTTTTACTGGATGTATATATTTTATTTTAGTTCTTTATTTTGTTTTAATTAACTTAAATAATCGCAAAGATTATACCTTTGCGATTATTTAAGCTTGCTAAATCTTAACGTAAATTAATATAACCACTTTTTGAATTATTGTTTTACGTAATTTCAAATTCTTCATTTGATTTAAAAAGATAACTGAGGATGATCGCTTAAAGCATTCGAAAGCATTTTTAATATCTTAAAAACGATTTGCTGGATTGTTTAAAGGTTTTGTTTTTTACTTATTGTAGTTCCAGTAGGAAAGTATTTATTTATTTAATTGATACAATTTGCAAGAATAAATTGAAAATCAACAAATAATGCACAATATATATAACTAAATATGCCAATAATAAAATGAAAAAAAGCACTACAAACATATGAACATAATGCAAGAACAAGAAATGACTGTATACAGAACAGATTGCCTTAGCATTTAGTGCATGAAAATTCACTCAAAGTGCTAATGCAATTTGCCATGTAAGTTCAAACTGTGTATAGTTTGAACTTCAAAGGTGAATTTTTCTGGAATTTAGTGTTTGAAGTATGATGTATGATACCACAGTATTTTTTCTCCGTGTTTATTTTATTTGCAACATAAGACTAAATAATATAGTTATTAGCATTGTGATACACTGAAACCAATAAAATTATAATTTTGAATTTCTATACTGACTTAGATCTGAGTATAAATTCCAGATGATTAAATTTTTTCAGCATTTTATGGAAAACTTTTCTCTTTATACATAGTGTACAAATCATTAAAAACAATATTACAGATCATAATGCACTATTTTTAAAATAAAAATTTGAAAAAAATGCTAGTTATCTTGAAACTATTAAATGTTTAAAATATTCCTATAATGTAGTTGACATTAGAAAATTTATTAAATTTAATAATGAGCCATTCTTTCTTTAGAACATGGCTCATACATTGTTATGCTATGGAAAATACTATAACAATAAAATTAAAACTATTCTTTTTCTATCTGCAATATATTAAAGCTAAGAAAGGGACACTGTAATCAATAACAATTAAAAAAAATGTATTCAAAATCAAAGTTACAAATTTTCCAATAAGAAAATACTAAATAAGATGCGTCAATATTAATAATACTTTGGTATTTCATGATTATTTGGATTATTTAATCCAATAACAGCTTATTTACATTTTAAAGAAAAATAACAATTTAAATTTTCTGAATATAATTAAATTTATTCTTAATATACTTATTAAAAACATTTAAATTATTTCTTACATTTTTAAAATGTAATCAACATTAGGGCTTTCAAAATACTATACATCAAGGGTTCTCAGAAAATTTTTTCTATGGCTGCACCTGTGTGAAAATATAATATTGACTTTTGCAATAATGTCCATTTTCCTTCACATTTAGGATTTTATTATCCAAGATGAATTTCAGTCAAAAACTCCAAATTGGTGGATATTTCAATGATTCTTAGTGAATGAAAACATACAGAATTAGCTCCTTGGATTGATCTGGTAGCTGCAAGAGATTTTCTTGGTGGCCACATTTGGAATCTTTTTCTTTACTCCAATGATTCCCAAAATAAACTGAATAAGAATTGCACAAGAAATACAGTGGTGCCTCGTATAACGTACTTAATCCGTTCCAGATGCATGTCCGTTAAGTGAAAAGTTCGTTATACAAAACGCATTTTCCCATAGAAGTACATGTTAAAACATATAATTCATTCTGCAGCATAAAATAACCGTACCATAAACAAATGAAAATGTAGCAGTCACCAATTATGCCGGTAGTCAGATGATGTGAGGAGGTGGAGGAACACTTTCTTTACACATTCATAGAGATACAGACTTTTTACACATTGCAGCACTCATTTTTATTGTTTTTTAATTGGAATCAGATTCAAGAGAGGCTATCGGAATTTGCAGGGTCATCTCCTCTTGTTCCATCCTTTGTTTTTTGGCAGCTTGCTTCTTGAAAAACATGTCCAAAGTGGTCAACTCCTCTTGTTCCATCCTTTGTTTTTTGGCAGCTTGCTTCTTGAAGAACATGTCCAAGGTGGTCTGTTTCTCTCTCTTCTTCAACACCTGTCGGAAATGAGAGATAAGGGTGTCATTGTAGAGATCATTGATCCTGTTGGCCTCCATTTGACAAGAAAGTTTTTGTCAACTTTCACTCCTGATGATTTCTTGCTTTGTTTCAATTGAAATCATTTTTCTGTTTTTTTAGAAGCCATGATTTTTACAACACTTGAATAAATGTAAATACCCTGCACTGAGGTGATGTACGTAATAAACAATGGAGCAAGCCGAATCCCAACGAAAGCTCTGTACTTCAGATATACTAATAATATATTCTAATAATACTAATATATTATAAAAATAGAAGATTGTCATTGGCAAATGAGTGGAAACATCATTTGCACTTGTTCGCAGAAAGTCCGTTGTTCGTAGCGTCCGTTATTCGAGGCATACGTTATACGAGGCACCACTGTATAATGAATTCAAGCATGAGGAATCACTTAGTAATTTAAGTATACAGTAAAATCTGCTGAAAAGGGAATATAACAGTACTTGTAAAAATTTTCCATTTTGATAGTATTCCTTTTATAGATGGTTATGATTTTATTAATGCAGAAAAAGAGAGTTGAAGAATTATTACAACTCGTATTTAAGACTGTTTCTCCAACAAAAATGTTTGTTTATATTTTCAACATTTCTCTGTACACTTACGATGTGCATATGTGCTGCACAGAAGAATAAAACTGTAAAAACCAAATATTCATGGATTGTGTTTTAATTGCTCTTTTCCTGAGAATATACCACTTGCTCTTCAGTGCTTAATTTATCAACTGTCGTCAAGTTAGAATAATATAGTACTTCTATTTGTATTTAAAAATTACTCTTATATTTTCTGTAAGAATAGTAGCTCCCAGAAATAAGTTTTTGTTACTCTCATTGCCATTAATAATAATAATACAGTAAACTCCTGTACAATGCACGACTAGTACACATACAAAATTCAAATTTTGTCATTCAGAGGTATACTTTTTTTTCAACTTTTAGGCCTAGGTTTAAACTCGTATAAATCGTGTGATAATGCAAGTTTCAATAACACGATTTATTATATCATGTAACATATTCCCACATTGTACAGGACTCCATTGTAATTAATTTTAGCTAGTTCTATGAATTTTGTTAAGTCATGCTGCTGCTGATTTGCTCTAGCTAACATGTAGAGAGTGGATATGTTCCATTCTAAAACATTTCATCATAATCATTTGATAACTTTTAATTATGAAAAAAATGTAAATATATCAAATTAGTTTTATAGTAATTATTTTTTATATTTTTAGCACAACTTTCCCAAAATAACACATTTTTAAATATTCATTATTTTGCCAAAGAAATTAACTCTCCTAGAAAGTTTAGGACAAACAATGATATTGTATTATGACTATTTCCCAGACATTGAATGATGATCTTGAATAAAAAATGGATTTAATAAATTATAACTCTGGTCATGTAAAAGTTTACTGTTATCTGAAAGTTAGCAGCAAATAATTCTAAATCATAATTAATGCTGTGTTAAAAAAATTCATTTTACTAAGGTTACATTATTGAAATTTTTAAAAATTGCATAAACTGTTAAAAACAAGTTCAGAATGACAAAATAGTTTCCTAGTTGACAAATTAACATCTCACAACATACAAGTTTTCACAATATTTGCAAATATTTTTACTATTATGTAAATTAATTATTGTGGCACTTCTGACAGAAGTTAAAAGTAGGAGAAAAAACTCTGGTTCACAGTATCCTTTGAGGAAAAGTTTTGTTTAAGTTGTGATTTATTATTTCATTATCTAAGGAATTATTTTGTAATTATGAACTTGTTTTTATACTATATCACTTTTTCAATTTAAAAAATTTTAATAAAGCCTTTTTTTTTACAATTTTTTCCAATATTTGTAAATGTTTTTTTTTTTTAACTATTATTGCAGTTTGCTCTCAAAAAGTCTTTCATTTCTGCATTAAGTTTTCAGCTTATAATAGTCTTTTATGTAATTAATCATTGCATTTTGAAATTAAGTTTTAATTTAGGCAGGTTTTCATTTTGTAGGGAGTCCATTTTAGAAAGGCTTTATGGTATTACTACTAAATCTGGTAATAAACTATTATCTGGTATTATAAATGTATGAAATCTTAATGTTTCTTAGAATGTCAATCAACTAGCAAATATATTATTAAAGTCATCAGTACATATCTAAATTTTAATGATCCAGTTTGAGATTTATTACTAAAGATCAAGATTTTCTAAACTTTTAATATTTATGTGTGATTTGTGTATCTGCCAGCTTCAGTTTATTTACATTAAATTTTTTATTATTTTTGATCATTTGAATAGAAAAAATCTAGAAATATATATTCTTTTAACAGTTGAACTATCAGTATGATTCATAAGAATATAAAAATTTAATTTTATTTACTAAATTTAAATAATTTAAATATTTTCATAAACCATATTTTAAGAAAGGCCTATAAATATTTTTGAAGTAATTGTTTTTAGATTGTTAGTATAAATAAGCAAGTTGATATACAATTTTGAAAAAAATGGATTTTTTTTACAGTTTTTATAAATTTAATATTAATCTTTTTAGATCATATGGTTAAAGGAATTTATGCTATATCCGTATCTGGCCGTCTTCCACCAGGTATTATTCGTGAGCTGAAAAGTCGTGGAATTACTTATAAATCAAGAGACACTAGTACTACCTGAATTTATATATAAATTGAAGCTATTTAAAGTATTATTTGTATAAAATTATTAATTGATTATTGTAAACATATAAAAATTAAATAAAAATCTTTGATAACTTAGGACTTGTTGTATGTAGACATTTGATTAGTGTTCACAACCTTTTCTAAGCTACATATTTTATTGAAAATGGAAAATTTCATGTATTCCTAAACATAAGTTGAAAATAGTTAGTTTTTGAAACCATTTGACTACATTCTTTAGGTAATTTCATTTTTAAAAATAAATTAGAATAAGGAAACAGTGTTTTGTAATTAAATACTATGACAGTAATGACAAGGTTCACAATTCTGTAGCCTAACCACAAGAATTTTCATTGGTACTATATTCTAAATAACTAAATATTTTTCAGAAACAAAATAAATGCAAAAACAAATTGCCTATATTAGTAAAAAACACCAAAAAGCAAAAATTCCAGACGACAGGATTATTCTTTCAGTTGTCCTGAACATGATCTTATTAAAGAGATGATAAAGAGAAAATATTTGACTTTTAAACTACTTTTGCTATTTTAGTGGTTTTTACTAATAAAATCAATGTTCAAGTTAAACCAAATCAAATGATATAAATTCTGTTAAACACTACGAATCCTGAGAAAGTGTTTTTCCTTTAATATACATGAAAAATTTAACAAGAGTATTCTTGTTACTAATGAAGTTAATTTAGTTAACTAATATTCATTAATGAACTAATGTGATGACTGCATCTGTTTTAATTTATAGTTTCTCAAAATCTGGTATCATTGAAAACAGATAAGGGTATAAATCTGGTTTCTCATTGAGTCTATTTCTATACTTGGTTTATGGATTTGTATAAGATAAAAATATTCTTTCACGAATTTTAATGTATACATGAAATTAGCCAATAGAAAAAAAAATCTGTTGACTGTCAGAAATGTGTAAAATATCATACAATACATTTATCATACATTTAATAAAAAAAATTGAAAGCAGATTTTGAGGACTTATATATAAAATTTTGAATTGTCTAGTTATTAAATTTGAAAATTTGTTGATTTAAAATTGCATTTGACAGTCATTAAAGATTTTTTTCACATTACTCACATTGGAAAACGCTACATTAGATTTTTATTAATAAATTTTTTTGTTGTAATATGTTCTGAAACTGTGTCTTCTTTTATTTGAATAATTTATTACTACTAGATGCTTATGCAGACACTTGGCAATTCTGTCATCAACCTTTATTCGGGAGTTTTTTATTTGCTGAGACGCATTTCGGGCTCAAGTCCCTCTTCTGTCGGCATTACTTCCCAGGATATACAATAGCATGACAATTGAAAATACATCTTATTTTAATTCAATTTAAGCCTTTTGTGAATAAAAGATATTCTCCATACATTAAACATCTCAAAGATACAATTTCTTTCAAATTACCTATTTGATTTAGAGGCTTTTTAAATTCCTGTTCTTACTCCTAACATTTCCCAAAACACAATTTATATATTGATCATTCATTTCCTGGCTATCTTTTAGGCTGTAGCTTAAAAAATAACCTACACGTCTCAACAAATAAAAAACTCCCAAATAAAAGTTGATGACAGAATTGCCAAGTGTCTATATAAGCACCTAGTAGTGATGATAAATTATTCAAGTAAATTTTTTACTTACTTATTAGTCATTTTTAAAAATCCAAAAATAATCTTTATTGAATATACATAAGTAACTAAGATATAACAATTAATAATTTAAAATTACATTTTTTAATGTTTTTATTTAACAACTTAAATATTGAAAAATTTAAAAAGATTTAATATATATAAATACATTAATTATTCAGTTTGTTTTAAGGTTCATTTAATAAAACAAAATTTGACATAATATTTTTCATAAAGGAAAGTACAGCTTCAAGATTATTAATTTCTTTGTCTAGTGCTTGTCTAATAGATACTGCTCGAAAATTTCCTATTGTATCAAATGAACCTATACATCTTAAACAATAAAAATAATTATAAGTAACTATGAACTATTTCTCATAATTTTAAGAATATTTCATGTAAAATTTAATATTTCAGATGTTTAGGCACTTAAATTATAAATACACTACAAATTAGACTCATAAAAGTATTTGAGGAGAACATCAAATTTCTTCCTTGTCTACAATTTGCAAAAGATTTTCTATAATAGACTTGTATTTTTTTCACATTGTTGATGACCACTATTACTTTTACCTTTAAGATATTCTTACACTGTAATGAAATATCTTCCTAATATATATTAACTACACATTAAGCGTATTCAAAAACAAGGATATTTTCATATCTAATCTTCAAATATATTATTTAACAATATTTGTTTTTTTGCAATTAATTCAGCAAGATATTTTATTTACTGCAAAGCCAAGTGTGGTAATTTAGTACAATAAATTGTGAAACATAACTTCTATAAAATTAAAAATATGGGTTTTTTTAATATAAAAGAAACTATATTTGTAGATAAAAATAGCTTTTACAAAAAAAGAAAGGTTATTATTAGAAGGAATGGGCACAAAGTCAGTATGAGTGTATTTCAGTCAATTTATTGTACTAAATTGACTGAAATACACTCATTTTGGAATTTGATTCTTTTAACAAGCTTCATTAAACCTTAATTACTAGATTTAATGAAATTAGCATTATTTTGAAATAATATAATTACAATTAATAACTAATTACTTGTGTCTTTCATAAGTATAAAATTTAAATATAGGTAGTTTATTTTCATGAGTTTAAATAAATTTATAATTTTCATTATAATGAATTTAGAGTTTTTTATAACAATAATTAACTCTTATAAAACATATGTTTAAAAATGATTTTGGTTATTTATATCAGCGCTTCTTAAACTATGGGTTGCGACTCCATTTGGGGTCGCTTAGTGAAACCTTGGAGTCACGAGATTTTAATGTAAAATATTGAAAACAATTTGTAAGAGTTTGAAAATGGCATGCTTTGTGTCATAGGTTTTGTGAGTTGTGCTTTGTGTCACTTCTGGTGCAGCAAGACAATGATTCAGCAACACTGATTGTAGTGTGAACTAGTATAGTGTTGTCACTTTTCAGTGTATTCAGTTGTCTCTGTTCCATTGTAACACAAGAGTGAACTGTGGTAGTACATCATTATTGTTTTTGCAAATTTGTATATATTTGCAACCCAAAAAATATTTGCAAATTTGTATGATTATTTTTGCAACCCAAAAAATATAAAATAATCATAAATGGGTCATAAATAAAAAAGTTTAAGAAGCCCTGATTTATATAATAAATTTTGTCAAATTTTTAAAATATCAATAATTTATCTTAACATTTTTAGAAATAATGGCAAAAATATTTTTATTTGGATATTTGATTTATACTAAGAATTTTAGACTTATATAAGACGAACTTATATATATATACATACACACACACACTGATGTATTTCAAGTTATACTTACTGTTACATATATAATATATCCATCATGGGCAAATGTGGTTCTTTTTGAGTTATATGCAGTTCTTGCTTAAAGTGTTAATTTCTGCTCTTTATTATTATTTTTACAATTTTATTTCCACAATTTTGTGAAAATATGTTTATTAAAAAAATTCAATATTTGTTTTATATAATATTTATATTATATAATAAAATAGCGGTACAGAATAAATGTGGCTCCTATGCATTTTGCAAAACCTACATTTTGGCTCCCACTGACCTCTTGCTTGCCCACCCGTCATATATATTGTGAGTATTTTTATTTTCAGATTTCAGTTAAAATAAGTTCATTTGGAGAATTTTTTACTGTTTACTATGGTACTTGTAATTAAAATATTTTATATGACTTATATACTAAATAATTTTTCATTAGATTCATAAGCTTATGTAATTGAATTATATAACCTGTTTTTAATATTTAGAGATATTACTTTTGCCATAGTATAAAATAGTCACTTAAAAAATTGTAAATGTTTTTACCTTTGCCATTCTCCTCTTCTTATACATGGCAATGATCTGTCCTAAAATAAAAATATTTAAATTAGACAGTTTGTTCAAATAAAAAATTATCATTTTTTAATATTTACAAAATTTCTTACACAGTACATAAATTTTATTTGAAAATAAAAAACTGCAATAAGAGATGTCTAAAGGTTGTAAATCTAGTTTATCAGCTTCTGATATAGAATATTAAGCATGTATTTTAATAATACAATATTAATTAGTTTAAAATAAATAGTCTCATTTCACTTCAATATTTGATATTATTCAAAGAAAAACACTGTTTTACAGTTCTCTATAATCAAGTGTTACAATAAAATTTCATAATATAAAATTAATATTTAAATTAAAAAGTAAAAATTTAAAAATTACAATTAAATAATGTATGAATTAATTTAAAATTTAAATTCACAAATTACTGAAAACATTTTAACATATTTCTTTAAACAAAACTGTAAGAATGAAATAAGAAGTATTTTTTTGTTTTCTGATATTCTATGATTGATTATATCAATTTTGCTATATTAAAATCAATTTCAGAAATGTATATTATGTATAGTGGATTTTAATAAATTTATAATAAATATATATATAGGGCAGAAAAAGTTTTATATACCATATTTACTCACATATAAGACAATTGTGCATATAGGACGAGGTGTGACTTTAAAGATCAAAATAAAGAAAATTAGATTTATTAATACAATTCTAATTTTATTTCGTTTAATCACAAATAAAATATCAAATGCACGTAAATGCACACATTGTCTTGTAAAAATTACTGGCATTTAAACTTTAAGGAGAAATCTTGTAAAATCAATAACATACTTTCTTCATGTAAAGCTGGACAATCGGGAACCTTTTTTGCCAATTCTTAACAGTTAAATCCACTGTCCTTCAATTACATTTATGAATTTCTCCGAATTCTGATTTCCGAATAATCATCTGTTTTCACATGGGAATGGATTAAAACTTATATGGGGCTTTCTGTATGATTTTGGAATTTTTCCTATTGCTATTCATCTTTACTCCTGACAATATACAAGAATGATTGAAATGACCCAGATAAAATACTTTTGATTTTAAACACCACAGAGTGAGCATCCAGTAAAAAATGTGAATACACTGTTCACAAAAATTATTTCAAAAATGCAAAGAATCCTTCACTTGCACATATAGGACGACCTAGGTTTTTGAAGCAGTGAAAAATGAATAAAAACCTCGTCTTATATGTGAGTACATTACAGTATATAAAATTCTACCCTGTGGGTACAAAGAAATTTCATGCCCATTGTGGGTTCAGCCAAGTCTTTAATGGGAGCAGCTGATGATGAGAATCCAACATTTCCAGAAGGGATTATTCACAGAAATTTCCTGGGGGTTGCTCACTTCAATTTAATCTCAGATCCCTCAGAACAGTAGGCTGATGCCTCAGATGCTTTGGCCATCAATACATGTATATTTTTTAGATTACTGACAATTTCAATTAAAATCAATTAATAACTGCTATAATTTAAATTAAGCAATGTTTTCTATTATATATTATAAATTAAATATAAGTAATTAAAAATTATAGAAAGATGGAAATTATGGAATTAGGTACAGAATGGAAAAGTATTAAGACATTAACAATTTAATATTAAACAAATTTTAGTTTGTCTGCAGGATAATAGAATGATATATTATTATATAAAAAAAAATAAGACCTTTTGAAATTTAAAAAAAATAATCATATAACTTCAATTACTTTACTATATTTAAATTTTGAGGTTTTCAATAAAACAATTTTATTGCTAATTATAAATATAAAATTATTATTTAGTTCTTATCATATTATAATGATAACTAATGATTTTGTCATAAAAGGAATAGTTTAACAAAATTTTTCCATATAGAAAGTGAACAGAATATATACTATCTCGTAAAATAATATTTGAATAATGTCTCTTCCACTTCTTAGAATAAAAGTTTTAGCAGTAGTAAATGTGGCAGTTTCAATAGGAGAATCCAAAATTCCTACAGGAAAAATAATTTTTATTAATTTGAATGTTTTTACAATAATATATTCAATAATTTTTTAATTAAATAATTAAAGTAATAAAATGTTAAAAATAACCAATTATAATAACTCATTTTACATAGCTATTGATTAAAATACTAGAAAATGATATATAGACAAAGTAATAATACTTTATTACTTTGGTATAGTATTGGTATAGATCAGTCTTTCTGAGGCCAAAGAACGCCATTCATATACTTATTATTACATGGAGCATTAGCATCAATGTATTCAAAATTTGAAAATCAATTCCATTATCAAGAAACAATGAAGCAATAAATTAATAAACTTTAATGCATTGAATAAAATAGAAACATGGAATTGTCTACGAATGTGGCAATTGGATTAAATTCGCAATAAAAACTTTAAAATATATATATATATATTTGTGGAACATTTGAAGCATCTACTTCAAATGTTCCACATTCAATTTGCTTCAAAATCATTATTAAAAATCATTGGTATAGATGATTTACCAAAAAGTTCATAAAGTGTCACTTGATGGTTTTGTACTAATTTCCATTGATGAAGAGTTGTAGGAGTAACTGTAATTACTCTTAAATAATTTTCTCTGGAAGCTTCAGATTTCTTTCTCCAAACTGGATATTTATTTAGGATGACATTTTGACTCTAAAATAATAGTAAGTAATTAAATTAAAGAATATTAAATATTTCTAAAAACACTATTAAAAGATTACCTTTTTTGAATCTTTATTTATAGAATTATTGACAATATTTATATTATTATTTCTCTCAAAATTTGGTGAATAATATTTTGAACATGTGGCTGAAATATTTGTTTGCTGATCAAGTGTATTTCTAAAATAAATCAAATTAATATTTTATTATATAAATTTAATGAATTTATTAAAATAAAATAGTTTAAATTGAAGCTGTGCACACTGGAGGTGGAGGGGTTTTCACGATTTAAACCCCCATTTGGAAAAAAAAATATAAAAATCCGATAACCTATATTATAAAAATTAATACAAAAAAAGTACACAAAAAAAGTCTATAACTTATATTGTACAAATTAATAAACTATGTAATGAAAAATAATTTTTTTTTAAACCCTGCCCTTTTAAAAATCCTGTGCATGGGCCTGGCTTAAATATTGGATAAAATATTGTTTTCAACATTTTTGTACAATATGCATAATAATATTTACTAAATAATTTCATTATTTAATTTAATTTAATTGTTTTTGAATTATTGTAAAGTTACTTTAGATTTATTAATTAACAAGCAATCTGTGTGCTACCATTTCTGCACATCTACTCTGCATTTTTTCATTTGCAAAAGTCCATAAAAGGGGTAAACAATTTTGGCCAATTGTCCACAGAGTTACTTTAGATGTGAGATATATTCAAAAAAGGAAATTTAAAATATTCTGTATTCTCAGTTTTAATTAAGTGAGTACTTAATCTAAAGAAAGTTTTTTACAATTCATCTACAATTCTTGAATGTATTTTTAAAATTATTGATAAATTATTTTGGCAAATGAATTTAGTCAGTTTTATTGTTATTTAAATAAAATTATTTTCTAGGTATAATATTTTTTGCTATCTCGCTTCTCTGGTAATTGGAATTTTGTAACTTAAGATTGAAGAACAGCAACAGGCATATCTGAAATTGTTTACTGAAAATTCTACAGCAGATGGTCTGTACAATACATCTGCAACCAATTCTGGCTATTCTCCAAAAACCATAGAATTCCACAGTCTAAAATACAGGAATGAACATGAGAGTAACTGAAACATTCAGATGATCTGGAGAAAAAATATTTACCAGTACTGTTTACTTTTTACCTGATCATATAGAATTTGATAGTGAGGAAAGTTTTAATATTCATGAAATCATTATTTTCCATTTGTAAATGTGTTCAAACTGATATCAATATTTTGCAGTTCAATACAGTGTTTATAAATAAAGACAGACAATTGATTATTAAATATTAGAAGAGTTATGCAGTTAAAATTTTTTTATTTGAAAGTTTTCTAAACAAAACTTGTAGGTTACCTAATTGACCTTATAATAATGAACATTTGATTATGTTCATTCATGATTATATCATATTTTAATGTTAATTTTATTTCAGTTTTTAATTAAGTTCAGATAAATTAATACTTTTGTGCAATGTAGAATTGTGTTTTATGAATGAGTATTGATAAACCTGAGGAATAAATCCTTGGAATCTATGGGATAAGCTTAAAAAATCTGACCAGTATTTTTCTTTTTTTCAGTCAATAATATAAGCCAATGTTTACATGATGAAAAAGAAAACATATTATATGTATTGCATTTGGGCATTGTTGATTAAGCTGAGCGGGCTTAGCTAACTTCTAGATCCTTTAACTATGTTTCTGATAAACGTAAATTGCTTAAAATTTATAATGAAATTTTACATTATTGTAAATAGTTAAGTTTATTCAGAGCTGGAATACAATTTCAAATATTAATTTCAAAAGCAATAATTATATAACAAGAATGTACACACAATTATATAAACATTATTTTAAACACACTTTTTATTTTGATTAATATTTATTATTTAAATGAAAACGTTCAATTTAACAATATTATGTAATATTACAACTTTGAACAAGTGTAAATCTTGTCTCAAGAAGAGTTTTAATTAAAATGCACTGATTAATTTTGCAGTATTGCTTATTACCAATGCTAACATTAAGCACTAAAAATCATATAGGCCAAAGTTATCACTCATATAATAATCATGAAAGTTATAATTTATAACTATTTATATGATTGTTAGTGCCTAAATGTCCTAGCCTTACTTTTTACACATATGAAGTAACATTCAATCTATCTCATACACTACACTAACTTTCTGGAGAAATGAGTTAATTTGGTAGAATATGTACATTCTACTGGATGACATAACAATAACTTGAAATGATTATTTTATAGATTTATGGAAACATTTTGGAATGAGCAAAATATAGAGATTTATACAGAAATATTACTCAGCAATGTCATTGCTTGGTGTCACCCAGTTAGGTAACTCATGGTATCCCCATTGATCTCTTTTTGAACTAGACCATACAGAATCCTTAGTAATTTTATTTTTTTGTAAGTACTGATGTTACTTGTAAATTGCAATTCCTGTATTATTACTGAATATAATGGTATTAACATAAACAACTAGTAAAATGAAAATTATACCTTTAAATTACAACATCATAAGCATAGCTTGCATTTATTTCTTTGTTATTTTTAAAATTGTATTATATTTGTAAAATACAAAATATTTTTATTGTAATTTGATAATAATGACAGATTAGAAGATTCCAAAAGTATATTAGCATTGCAGGGATATTGATACATGTAAGCTGGACTTACAAAAAACATTTGTTATAATTAACTACAAGAATATTTTTCAAAAATAAATTTTTGCTCTGTTATAAATGAATGTTACTACAATACTTGATTATCTAACTATAATAAGGCCACTTACCAGGCAACACAGCCATTACTTCATTCTACTTATTCAATAAATAGTATACAATACTTAAAATATTTTACTTATTTGCATGTTTTTTAATAATCTACTTAAGCTATAATTAATAATAATTCTCCAATTTGAATTACTTATTTTCTGAATTTGATATTGCTTATTTTTCTTAAAGAGTGATCTTTTAATATGTTCATTCCTTACAAGGATTAGCATAAATTAGCACTCTAAAATATTCTAATTTTTTTTACTAATATCTAAGAAGATATTACTATAAACTAACATTAATACCATGACTATTTTATTTTAATCTATTCTCATAATAAACTGTAATAAAAAATTAGAATTTATTATAAGAAAAATTCCAGATAGAATTATATGAATTTTTAGGGATTCTATTGCTATTCTACCTATGAAAACCAGAAATGATACATTTCAATAAATGAATTAAGATATCTCCAGAAATGATACATTTCAGAGAATTAAGGATACTCTGACATTAAAAAAATAAATATGATAGTAATATAGAAGAAACAATAGTCTAATATCAAAAGAAAAAATTCTGTTCTGAAGATAAAACATAAAACTGCATGTTTGAAATGCAAAAAAAATCTTTTTATCCTCTTTGTAACATTGAATTTTGATTATAAACTTATAAATTATAACAAGCAATCATTTGTTGTGACATCGTGACAATTTTTAATCATATTTTTAATTAATTGAATTTAAAATATATGTTCTCCATCTCAAATTATTAGTGTCTTGCCCCTGTACATCATACTTTTCCGTTAGCAATGGAATTGTGCTAGTCATCTATTAACTGTTTTCAGGGGAAAAGTTTTGAATTGAAATAACATGACTTCCGATTTGCATCAGAAGTTCTTATGTAGTTAACCGGGCTTCCTGCCCCTAAGGTTTCCATATCTGGTCTTGAATTTCATTTATCTAACACCGTTCTGAAATTAACGAAAGACAGGCGGATGGATGACAGTGGAAATTATAGGTTTATTGGGCTGCAATTTGAAAAATTGCAACCCAATAAACTAGGTATATAGTTTGTATACGCTACATATTTGATATGATACTAAAAATAATGTATATATACAATATGTAATATTTTCAAGTGATTGTAAGTACAGTATTTGGATGGCGGATTTGGCGGTTGTTTTTTCTTGTGGTCATAACTTCCTAATAATACTTCACAGACTTTAAGAAATTTTTTTGCCTGGCGATTATCTTTCAAGTATACGATATTTTTGGAACAGTTAGAGTTTTCTCGATTAAAATTTATCTTCCTTTTTTTAATCTACAGGGTGTGTGGAAAGTAACTAGGCATTGAGAAATCGCTATAATTTCTATAATTATAAAGATGATGGAAATTACTTGAAATATACCTTTTTAAATGGAAATATGGATGCATATCCTAAAATCTAATATAGACACCGGCGCCATCCACCAACTTCCTCAAACGATGAGGTATCGTGGTATGGATGGAATTCTCTGCATTTGCAATCGAACGCGTGATCATTAGCTTCGAATGACAATTTTTGATTGTTTCCGGACAGACTGTGTCGTGACATCTCTTCGCCTTACGCCAACATCTCTGCATGGCAACCACTGATTTCCACACCTCATAGCGTGCAGAAATTTGCGCTCGCTCCTGAATAGACATGCGGTCGGCCATCTTTTTAGACACTTGTGTATGGCCTCTCAATCACTACTCCCATCACCGATGCGGGAATTATAAATTTCCATCAATTGATGTATATGCAAGCATAAATTTTATTATTATTGCGCTAGTACAAAAAAAATTATAGCAAATTTCTCAATGTCTAGTTACTTTCCAGCCACTCTAGATTAATAATAATATGCGAAAATGTCTTTTCTTCTATATTTTGTAGGAGAGATTTTTTACATATCAGTCAATAAATAAAAGATTAAGACCCAATCATCTTACTAATAGAAATTATTATAAACTTGTTATGTCATACTTATTAAATATGAATATGAATTAAATATTAAGATGCTTATTTAATAGTTTTACCTTGAATGAAACTTGTACTTTTTTTCATTCATTTGTTCTTTTGGTTGCAGTGATGTTGGCAAAGTCCTTTTCCTTACTGTAAAATTATTAATGATTAAAAATATTTGAACAATAATGTTAGCCTATATTGATGCTTTCTTATTTTAACAACAAACAAAAGAAGATTATATAGTAATAACCAGAATATTACGTCTTTATGCCACTACCGCGGAATTTAAATTTCCATATCAATTTATTTAAATATTTTATATATTTTCCAGGATGTATACCTAAATTTCAATATGCATTTAATTTATAGATACAGCAGTTGGATCCACTAAGTGCAGATTCAGTACAGTTTACAGAACCACCTGAGCAATTGCACTGTTTTTCGCATCAAGACATTTCAGATATTAAAATTGAAATTTCTTACTATAAAGCTATCTTTTCCAAAAATCAAGAACTGAAAGAAATGCTATTTGCTCCTGGGTTCGAAAGTCTACACTGAAAGTATAGAGAGTTGACCGTCTATGTAAGCTCTTGCCGATAGTTTGTTCGGAAACCGAGTTATCGTTTGGTAACCGGAGTATATATGGCGTTAATAATTTTATTTGTAAACAAGAGCGTTCGTAACCAGGGGTTTGACTGTATTAGTAAAATTCTAAAAAAAAAAAAATCGCTAATTTTGATACGAGACGTCCTAACCAAAATATAGAGGAGAAGGTGGTATTATGGAACACTGCGGGTATTATGGAACCACCCCATTTCGAACTGATAATAAAGGTGAACTGTAGCGGAATGTGGCTGAACTGAACTAGGCAGACATCCATAGCAAGGGGAAAACCCGTTTTACTTCAGTTAAACGGTTGTCCGCATTTAATCAGAAAATTTGTTTTTTTCAAAATTCGCAAGTTTTGAATGCTAAGTGAATTTAATTATTTTTAAAATATAAATCGTGTAGTTGTAGGTTCACCGGTGCATGTATTCCGTTCCAGAGACTTAGGGGTACATATTAATCTGTGTGATGTTCACATTTTTTAAAATTTGGTCTCGACAGACATAATTCGAGATGGCGATGCGTGAAATATGGACCCCATTGGTGCTTTTACAGTAATATAGAACTCAACTCCTCCGAACTCTCTTTTTGCAAGCAGACATTCGTCTGGAGCAATTTGTGAAAAAGACACTAGGTAGAAAGCCAATTCTTCCCGAGAATATCGAAAAGGAGCTGCTGGAATATATATTGTTGATGGAGGTCATATTTTTCTATTATAAAAGCATTTTTGCGATAAAATACATTGGAGTAAACAATTTGGTAATTATTTAACATTTTTTGTACTTTCCTATTTGTTTTTGGCTACATTAAAGCATTTTTTGAAAATATACAGTAAGGATCCATATTACCACCCGATTTTCTCTGAGCCTACTTTCGGACTTTTTGTACAAAAGCCTTCAAAAACCATACTTATAGTTACACTAGCGAAAAATCCAATTAGGAACATTTAGATTACTAGTTATCAGTACTTTTCGCACAAAAAATGTAGGTGTAGTTATGATACCTTGTTTACAATTCACTAAAATGTAATTGGGGTTCCATAATACCACCTTTTCCTCTAATTATTTATATAGAAAACAATTGAAGATGGTATATTAAAATGTAATAAATTATCGATAAGGCGTTTTGGTATAAGTCAAATGCTTTAAATTAGAGATCAAAATAAACAACAATTGAAAATTTCTGTTTACAGTGGTGTTGTTTACAGTATTATGTTGTCCTTAGTTTTGAGTAATTGATAGCAGAATGAAATTTCAAATTACAATACTAAGCAGGATAATGAAAATTATAGTTTCCGAAAAGTAAATGTATTTATATAGACATCATTCAAACAATTTCAACCAGTCCAATAGCCAGAAATAAATCATTGGGCCTAGAATGGGCAAACCGAAAAAATTGTGACTGACATTTTTCACTTTTCTAGCCAGCACTAGGCCTATCTGCTACAGTCAAAACGTAAAAAAGTAACAGTAGTCTAAGTTTACGTGATGAAAGTAAAAATGTATATTGTATACTAAGCACATATTATACAGTTTAAACTGCATATGGACAATGCCGGTGAAATTAAGGCGGATTAGCCATTACATAACCGCCAGAGCTATGGCTCTGATTTCACTATAGCAGAAATAGAAAGTGGTCGATAAGCATATTTAGACTATTTAGGACTGTTCAATTACAAAGAAATGAACTACTATTTAGGTATAAAATTCCATTTTATAATTAGAGAAAATGTGGAGATTAACAGAAAGAAAGCTTTATGTTTAATATGTATGAAAAAATTTCAAGAAGATTGATCTTGGCTGGTAAAATCTAGTACTGTAATGGTTTTTTATACAGACAGAAATCAATACAGTAATAACTCGACTTACGCTACCCCGACTTACGCGAACCCGGAGTTACGCGATTTTCAAATCTCGTCGATTCGTCTTTTGTTTGAGCGCCACGCAACTGATGATTACTCACCCCCATCTATTGTTCAGCTTACATGTTAGGACGTGTCGCGCGGAATCGACACATAAATAACACAAAATGAATTGGTTAGTGAGCGCTAAGATTGGCTTTACTTTACTTCTAGACTTATTACACCACCACAGGACATCAAATTAGATTTAGAAAAACACTATTTTATTTTCAGAATGCATTTCGGACATAGAGTCCCTCATCAGCTATTTGCTACAAAAATTAATAGGAGGTTAACAATTTTATAAAAAGGCCGTGATTGACATAAATGAACAAAAATGTGGACTTACATTTGACATGTGGGTTCGACGCGTTGAACATTAATTAAAAGATTAAGCATACGATATACAAGATTTCTCGTTAAAAACGGTAATGTTGGTGCAATAACGTAATAATAAACAGAGGTACTGGTAAAACAGTAAAGTTATAAAAATATACATTGTTAACAAAATGATAAGTAAATTCACAGTAACACGAACAGAGTAAGAAGACGATTCGAAGTACATTCCAGGGTGACTG